GGGTCGCGGGGTGGGTCGCGGGGTGGGTTGCGGGTGGGTCGCTGGGCGTGTCGCGGGTGGGACGACAACAACACACAACAAACAACAACCAACAACCAACACACAACAAACAACACACAACAAACAACACACAACAAACAACAAACAACACACAACACACAACACACAACACAACGACAACAACAACAACAGCAGCAGCAACAACAACAACATCAACAACATAAATAATAACAACAACAACAACAACAACAACAACAACAACAACAACAACAACAACAACAACAACAACAACAACAACAACAACAATCATTTTAAGACTGTTCGCCCTTATCTGCTCGACTGTCGAATAACGCGTATTCCCCAGACCCTCGATACCCGCCCTTTTCGTATTCGATCGAACCCCTTTTGGGGGGTATACCTTTCTTCCCTGCAGGCCGGGCCCTGGCAAGCGGCGGGGCGGCCGCGGACCGTCGGCCTGGCCAGCGGCAGCGTTGATCGGCGGGGCGGCCGCGGACCGTCGACCCGACCCCAAGAGGGACGGACAGGGGACCGACCCCGACGACGACGACGACGACAACGTCGACGACGACGGCGGCAACTACGGCGACGGCGACGACGACGAAAGGCGAAAGCGAGAGCGAGAGAGAACGACAACAGGGCCACCAAGGACACGAAGTAGGCCACGAAGGGCGACAGCGGGGACACGAAGGGAATGCGTATGGGGCCACGAAGAGCGCGAACGAGCGTGGGCCACGAAGGGCAGATAATGCGGGGCCACAGAAGGCAACGATGGGGCCAATGAGGGTAGCACCTGGGCCACGTAGGACAATGAGGGGGCCACACACGGCGACAGCAGGGCCACGAAGGGCGTGCACATGGGGCCACAACGGGCGCGAACGAGCGGGGGCCACGAAGGGCATACGTAGGATGGGCCGCGGAGGGTAAGGACGGGGCCACTGAGGGCAGCAAGGGGGGCACGAAGGGCAGCGAGGGGGCCACAAAGGGCTGCAACGGGGCAGCGAAGGGCATGCATATGGGGCCACCACGGGCGCGAACGAGCGGGGGCCACGAAGGGCATACATACAAGTGGCCATGAAACAAAGCGAGGGGGCCACGAAACGCTGCAACGGGGCCACGAAGGGCAGCGAGGGGGCCACGAAGGGCTGCAACGGGGCAGCGAAGGGCTGGAACGGGGCCACGAAGGGCAGCGAGGGGGCCACGAAGGGCTGCAACGGGGCCGCGAAGCAAAGCGAGGGGGCCACGAAAGGTTGCAACGGGGCCACGAAGGGCAGCGAGGAGCCCACGAAGGGCAGCGAGGGGGCTACGAAACAAAGCGAGGGGGCCACGAAGGGCTGCAACGGGGCCACGAAGCAAAGCGAGGGGGCCACGAAGGGCTGCAACGGGGCCACGAAGGGCAGCGAGATCCCGATTCCTAGGTAATCTGTGAAGGAGTCCTAAGCGTGAGCGCGACTCCTGGGTGCCTGGGTGTCGGGAGCGCGGCGCTGGAGTAAATTGCAAGAAATTCCAACGCGAGGGCGCTATTTTTCAGCATATTGCAAGCAAGTCTCCAGCGAGAGCGCGACTCCAGAGCGCAGGAGGAACGATTCCTGAATAAATCGTAAGGAAGTTCCAAGCGAGAACGCGATTCTTGAATAACATGCGAGGAAGTCTCGGGCGAGAGCGGGGGTCCTGGCTAAATTGTGAGGAAGTCTCAGGCGGGAGCCGTTGTTGTTGTAACCCGGGGGCCAGGTTGGCCAGTTTGAGCAGGAGGATTTTCTTTGACAAAAAACAAGGTGCGAACCCCGGGGGGGGGCACTTCAATTGAACAAAAACCAATGTGCACCGGTGGGGAGGATCAACAATAATTATTCTTCAAGAATGAGAGTTCAACAACAACAGCAACAACAACAACACCAATAACAGCAACAACAACAACAACAACAACCACAACCACAACGACAACCACAACAACAACCACAACCACAACCACAACAACAGTAACAACACCAACAACAACCACAGCACCAACAACAAGAACAACATCAACAACAACACCACCAACATCAACAACACCAACAAACAACAACAGCAACACCAATAACAACAACAGCAGCAACAACAACAACACGAATTCGCATCGCGGAGTTCCACGTCGGCCACGCACCCAGGGACAGTGAATGACCGTTCGGTTCAGCCCCCTCACTCTGACCGACACTTGAGGGTTTCCACGTGTCGAGCCCTGGGATGTGATACTCGTTCGACATTGCGCCGATACTTTTATGGGTGCTCGAAATTATTGCCGGGGTGTGGTCATTCCGTAAGATGGGAGCAACGTAAATGTTGTGTTTGTCAGTTTCTTGCACGCCGCTTCGGAGAGACTCGCGCGTCACGCCCCTGCTTCGATCTCCGTGCGTCGTGCGCGTGTGTGCTCGCGAGCCCCGTGCAGAGCAGCGCGCGCCCCGATGGCGGTCCACCTTCAGCGCGATGGGTGGTGCCCGACAGGATCTCCACCTGCAGTGATCGGGGGTCAGCCGGAAAACAAACAACGACATGTACAGACGCGCACTTCCGGAAGTCCACGTGGATCTCTTGGATCGGCGCTGGAGCCCCCTGGTGGCGCCTTCAGCGCCGCCCCCTGGCGCGCAGGGGTTCCAGGGCCGAGCCGAGAAATGAAAGTTTCTGTTGGTGTTACTTGTTGTTTCTCTGTCAGGAGGGGAAAAAACACACAGACATAATTTATCGTCGATCCCCATGAAAACATTGGAGAAGGTAATTTCAGCGCCCCAGGCAGGCTCCAACACAGCTGCAGTGGCAGAGACGGCGTTGCGTGTGCAGTTGTGCCCTCTCATGAGACATTGGAGCCCTAGTCCCCTAGTCATACGGTGGGATCGGATGCCAAGACACCCCTTACGTTTTGCTAGGGTACCTTGGGTTTCTGAGGATTGTGTTCGGGTTGAATACGTGCAGCGGTCGTGAAGAAACCGCAGCTGGCAGGGTACCCTGAGTTTCTTGGGCGCTGAAGCGTTTTGCGGCGCGCGCCCGAAGGTCTAAGAAACCAACGGGCATTGGGGCATCCAGAGTTTTTTCACTGGCAGCCAGTACGCAAGAATCCACACCTTGCCGAAGAAATTTTACGATTTGCAGTGTCGGGCTTTCTGCGATGGACTTCTCGTGAGCCAGTACTGGCTGCAGTCCAGTCCAGCCCCTTGCCGTCGTCACTGGCTGTTGCCGCGGAGTTCTGCCCCCCGGGGTCAATCTTAAGTCGGTCACGTCCAAAAATAGTCAGGGGGCGTTTTTTTGGGGGGGTGGGGGGGAAATCACGTTTGACTATTATTGGTTATTGTTAGGCTTTTTTTCATCATATTTGGACTATTCTCGATTTGTCTTCCAAAACCCGCCTGTAGGAGGACATGCCCGACCGAACGGTCAGTCGGTGTCGGGCTGGGCCGCCACGCCAGGAACGGCAAGTCGTCGTGCACGGCCACGTTCAGCCAGATGTTCGTGGACCTGAAGGAGGGCCTGTTGTCCTGTTGCTTCCTTGTCTCTCCTCGCTGAGCCGGCGCAGGCAGGTCTTCATTCACAGTGGTTCCAGTCATAGAGCAATCTGATTAATCCTCAGCCTTTGTCTGCTGCTCGTCGGGCGTGTCATGGCATTCACCCGGGCGAAAGAAAGAACGGTCAAGCAGTGGCGCAGCGTCCTGGCTCGCCTGTAGGCCCGCCAAATAATGTTATGATAACCTCTTGTGGTCTGCACGAAATGTTCTTCGAACAGTTCTGGCCGGGACTGCCTTGTTGTCACACATCGGCTTCATGTTCTGAGCACGCTGCCTTGGTTCTGAGAACAGTTTCGGGTTCTGAGGACATCTCGTGGCAGCGGAATGCCGGGACGGTCGGTCCCTGCTCGAGTCATGGCATCCACCCGGGCGGAAGAACGAACGCCAGACAGGCGGGCCTGCCGCGCGCCCGGCGGCCCGCGGCCTCGGGGGCCTCGGCAAATTGGCCGCTGCCCCGGGGCCCGCTGCTCGCCCCCCGCGCCGTCTGCCTGACGGCCCTGGGAGGCCCGGCGCGGGCCTCCCAGGGCCGCCTGCGATCCGATCCGATGCGGCGCGACTCGCCAGCCAGGGTAGGTCGGGCCTGTCCCTCTAGAGGGGGAAGATGCAAACGTATCTTGAAGATAGTCAGGGGACGATTCCCTCAGCATTTTTTGATCATTTTGGGGTGCTTTTGGGGTAATCCTTCTGTTTTTCGTGCAAAATCCCTCTGTGGGAGGACAGGCCCGACTTGAAGCCAGGGCCGCGATCCCGCTCCGATGCGCTGCGGCTCGGCTCGAGTCGCCGACCCCGGGGCCAGCCAGGGCCAGGCGCAGCGGTCCGGCCTCGATCCGGTTCGGGGCGGTGCGCTGGCGATGCGACCCGCTTCCGATCCGATCCGACTCAGCGATTCGATCCAGCGCAGGCCTGGAGGACCCCCGAAGGCCAGAAACGGCCAACAGCTGCCCGCTCCCAATTTTTTGGAGCGTCGGTTCTTTGAGAACCGACGGCGCGAAACAGTTGAGACATCGCCAAGAGGTGCAAGTGGGGCGCCCTGGACCCCATCTTCCTGCGAGCCAGAGCGATCCGTGAGGGCCCCAGGGCCCGAAGCCTGACGAAGACGCCCGGCTAGGAAAAATGGAGACTCCAGGATCTCAGGGGTTCTTTGGGAACCCCTCTTCGGCGTCACCCCAACATACTTATACTATATGTGCGTCGCCCCCCCAGGGGCGACGCGCGCACCGATAAATCTTACAGTGTATGTGTCGTGCCGGGCGCTTTCTGGCCGCACCGCTCTGGCAACGATATACTACAAGATGGGTATATTGTATGTTCGGGTCGGACGCGCGCCTCCAAGGAGGACATGTAGTGCTAGTATGCTGGTATGCCTCTGTGCGTCCCACCTCCCTCTTTCGACGTGGGCCTGCCGCGCGCCGTTCTCGGGCGTCGGCGCCCCAGCTCGGGCCCCAGGGCGGGCCTCGCGAGCCCGCCTCCGCAGTCCCTGCCTCCCTCCGGGCGCGGGCGCCCCCCGCGGGCGCGCGCCCGCCGCGGGGCGCGCCCGCCGCGGCCGGGATGGGGATCAGGGGCCTGGCCAAGTTCCTGCAGGATGCCGCCCCCAAGGCCGTGCGGAAGGGGGGGGACTTGCTTATCGTTGTCGGCTTGCTTGGATCTTCGAATTGTTTGTTCTACACACATGTACACAGATGATGCGTAGAATAGGGTATGCAACACGAGCATGGAATCCAATATACGTTGGTATGATCTGATCTAGCGTAATGAGTTATCGTATGTACATATGTAATCAACAACGATTTGACATATCATTTTGTACTACAATGGTATGACATATCATATTATAGTATTATGGCATCGTGCATTCTACTATAATGTAGTTACGCATAATGTCGTCTCCGATATCATACTAAGGTATCGTATACAGCATTATGGCATAGTAAATTCTAGTATATTCTGACCCCATACATTATAACTCTTTACCACCTGACATACTACACGGAACTGTAATACAACACACTATTATATACATCATAAAGTGGTGTTTTGTAGTATGAGACGCCGCAGGATGATACGTTACACTATGCTTATGCATAGTCTATATATTCGTACCATGTAGTACACATGCCCACAGTATACGGAGCATATTATAATCTAAGCTTAAAACCATCTAATATTTTAGAGCAGGATATCATGCAACTTGATAGCGCACTTTATGATATGATGTACCATCGGAAACTATAGTGCAATATAATCGAGTTGATAATCTAATCTGGAGTTCATGTTATGATGTATCATTGTAAACCTAAATTTGATATGATGCGCAATATAATAGAGTTCATACTCTAATATAATATAACAGAAATGTGCCCCGTGGGACAGGGCGGGTGGCTCCCAGTGCGGCCCCTCGACGCGCCATGGGGTCTCTGGGGCCCTGGGGGCGCGCTGGGATCGCGCCGGGAGGCTGAAGACGCCCCCAGAAGGCGCCAACAGAGTTCCAAGAGGCCTTCAAGACAGTTCAAGAGCGCGCCAAGACGCCCAAGATGGCCCCAAGAGGACCCCAAGGACCGCATCGAGACGGCCCCAGAGGCCCCCAGAGGATTCTCAAGAGGGCCCCACGATGCGCAAATCACTGATTGTTATTGCGTTATTCAATACATTTCACGTCATCGTTTTTTCTAGTTTCCCACGCTCCAAGACAACCCCAGATGCGCCCAAGACCGCTCAACGACGGCCCAAGAGGCCTTCAAAAGGATCCCAAGACCAGCAAAGGCGGGCCCAAAACGGCCCAAGAGAGCCCCAAGACGGCCCCAAGAGGGGCGCAATAGAGGGGAACGGGAACACGAATCTACAATTCGTGCGTTCCGCCCCACGACGGGGCCCAGGAGGTCCCATGACGCCCAGAGAGCCCCCACGAGGCCCCCAAGAGGCCCACAGGATGCCCAAAGAGGCCCCCACACAGCTATCAAGGGGCTTCAAACCTTCCTCCCAGACTCTCGACATGCCTCTTTCGATCTCACATGATACACGCACGCGTGTACATACATGGCTGTAGATTCTGGTTTACATATACAGACACCCGTACATACACATATGTGTGTATCTGTTTGTGTGCACGCATGAATGTATGTACGTATGTATACTTCATGTATGTATGTATGTATGCATGCACATATTTATGTATGTACGTATGTATATATATGTGAGCATATGAGTGTGTGCATGCACTGTACATGTAATGGATAGTGATGCATTGAATGGTAATGCAATGCAATGCAATGCAATGCAATGCAATGCAATGCAATGCAATGCAATGCAATGCAATGCAATGCAATGCAATGTATGTGTGTGCATGTATGTATGTATGTGTGTGCGTATGTGTGTATGTATGTGTATGTATGTGCGTATGTATGCATGGCTTTCTGTATGCAATGTGTGTATGCATGTGTGCTTGCATGTATGCACGCACGCATATATGTATGTATATATGCATGTATGTATGTATGGTTGCATGCAGACATGCTTGTATGCATGTCTGTTTGTTTGTATGTATGTATGTATGATCCAGGGTCGAGGGCCCACGGGCCCCCCCCAGATGGTATGGTCCCAGGATTCCTCGGCCCCCCCCCCCCAGATGGTATGGTCCCAGAGACGACGACGACGACGACGACGACGACGACAACGACGGCTGCGACGACGGCGACGACGGCGACCACGGCGACGACGACGACGACGACGACGACCACGACGACGACAACGACGGCTGCGGCGGCGACGACGCCGGCGGCGGCGGCGACGACGACGATGACGACGATGACGACGGCGACGACGACGATGACGACGACGACGACGACGACGACGACGACGACGACGAGGACGACGACGACGAGGACGACGAGGACGACGACGACGACGACGACGACGACGACGACCTCTGAACCACCACAGCACCACACCACATCCACAGGGGGGGGGGAGGGGGGCACCGCAGTGCAACACCACGCCACGCCCACCTCTGAACCACCACAGCACCACACCACATCCACAGGGGGGGGGGGGGGAACCGCAGCGCAGCACCACGCCACGCCCACAGGGGGGGGCGGGGGGGACCATCGCGCAGGGGGGGGGCCCAATGGCATCAGCATTGGGGGGGGGGCCCAAACCCTGGACCATGTATGTGTGCATGCATGCATGCGCAGTCGTATACGTGTCCGTCTATACATATATATATATATATGTGCTTGCATGTGTATGTATGTATGTATTTATGTATGTATGTATGTATGTATGTATGTATGTATGTATGTATGTACGTATGTACGTATGTACGTATGTACGTATGTACGTATGTACGTATGTACGTATGTACGTATGTACGTATGTACGCATGTACGCATGTACGCATGTACGCATGTACGCATGTATGCGATGTGTGTACTATACTTCATGACTGTTGTGCATGTGTGTCTGACCGAATGTATGACTGTGTGTGTGTGCATGGCTATGCCGACGATTGGCGACGATGGATTGAATGACGATGACGTGTGTTAGTGACAAGCAGGAAGAGGACGGCGAGAAACAAGTGCACGACGACGAGGATGGTGACAGTGGAGGGCAAGGCTTGCTGGCAAGTGAGGATAAGGTTGGGATGCAGGAGGAGCACCAGCAGGAGGGGGCCTCAGGGGGCGAGACACAGGAGGCCCGGGATCCGCACCGAAGGCCGTGCGGGAGGTGAAGGGCCCCGAGGCGTTCACCGGCCGCGTCATCGCGATCGACGCGAGCATGTGCCTTTACCAGTTCCTGATCATGATCAGGGAGAGCCACAGCGGGGCCTACAGCAACCTCACCAACGCGGAGGCGGGCCGGGAGAGCAGCGGCGGTCCTCTCGCACATCCCTTCGCCTCCCGCCTTCGGGCGGGGCCAGGACAGGGGCAGATCTCGTCCGAAGCGCCCCGGGGACGCTTTCGGACCGTTCTGGAGCGCTCGGAGAGGCCGCGGCGCCCGTTTCAGCCTCCCCAGAGATCCAACGCGTTTCTGGCCGTTTTCGGCCTCTGGGGGCCTTCGCCGGGCCTCGGCAGCGTCAAATGAAACCGGCGCGACCCCGATTAAGAAGAAATCAGGAACTTTGAGACGGGGGTCAATGCAAACGTGTGTCAGCCAGAGCGCCCGATCTTGCAGGATCCTGCAGGGCCAGGGTCGCATTGACCCGGGTTTGGGTGCAGGATCCTGAAGGGTCTTGCAGGATCCTCCGCATTGACCCGGGTTTGGGTGCAGGATCTTGCTGGATCTTGCAGGATTCTGCAAGGCCTGACTGACCCGGGTCTGGATTGACCCGGCCGGGTCAGAAGATCCCCGAAGAAAGTTTCCTATTGCATGCTTGGCATTGCTTGGCATTACTTGGCATTGCTAAGAATATGGGATACGAGGCACTGGGGGCGGGAACCCCGAGGAACCCGGGGAACCCAAGGAACCTCCGACAAACGGGCAACACGTAACATTAGGAGGCACAGGGGGCGGGGAACCCGAAGAACCCGAGGAACCCGAGGAACCTCCGGGAAACGGGCAACGCAACAATGGGAGGCACGGGGGGCGTGGAATCCGAGGAACCCGAGGAACCTCCGGGCAACGGGCAAAGAAGCCTTAGGCAAGCCTGGGGAGAAACAGCCCAGGGCGAAAAACTGGCCCTAGGGAAGTGGTCCGGATCTCTGGGGCCCACGCATCGAAACAATTGGAGCATCTGGATGTCTGGGGAGAAGGCCGCGGTGCCCAATATAGCCTCCAGAGCCGCCGGATCTCAGAAGTCCCCGATTTTTCACCGTCCAACTCTCTCCCCGTCCTGGCCTCGTCTTGCCTCGCCGTCGACGTCGCAGCTTTCTCGCGATGTGGGCACCTGGGATCTCGACCGAGTTCGTTTTTGTCAGGGGCAGCGGCAATACTCGGCGGCGAGCGAGGGGGGGGGAAGTGAGAAGGAGAAGGCCTTCTCATAATGCTCGGAAGTCCTCCGGCTTTCTGAGAAGTTTTCTAAACCTCCCCCGAAAAAACAAAATCTCAAAAGGCGCGAGGGACTTGAGAAGTCCCGCCGCCTTCTGAGAAGGTATTCTCCTCATTTCCCCCCCCCTCGCTTTTGGCCGAACTATCTCAAAGCTCTGGCACCGGAGGAAGAGTCGCCCGCCGCGATGGTCTTGCGACGCTCAGGTCCAAGGGCCGCCACGAGGGCGCGCAGCTGTTCGCAGCTCGCGGCTCGCGCCTCGCGATTCCTCATCTCAGAAAGGGGAAAATCACAGACACAATTGTCGATTCCCAGGAGAATATGGATGAGAAGAAAAAATGTGAAGTGGGGGGGAAGACGAAAACCCAGAAATTACAAGACAATATGGGGAATATTGGGATTTGTGTGTATCTATTTTCGCTCACTCCGCCGGCCCATTTCGTACCACTGTGGCTGCGTGGTGGTGTGCTCGTGCCCAGGGGGAACGGTAGGGCAGGCAGGACGGTCTTCGAGGAAATCAATGCAGATGTGGCTCGCACCCTGTCGAAGAGCGCCGATAGGCTGCCCCAGAGGGCGCCAAGATGGCCCAAGAGAGCTCCAGCAGAGTTTCGAGACGTACATGGGTTGTGGGTCAAAGTCCTCATGGATGTTTCTTGGGGTTTTCGGAGGGAGCCTCTGGGGAGCAGTTTTGAGGCCTCTGGGGAGCCTCTTGGGAGCTTCTTGTTGGGGCTTCCTGGGGGCCCGTTGGGAGTCTTGGGGGCATCTTTCGGGGCCTAGCGCTCTTCGCTCGAGGATTGAGGTTCGTTGAGGTAGAGGGGGGACGGGGAGGAGAGGCAAGCTAGGTGCGCTCGCGTCACATCTGACGTCCTACCCCTCCCGCCCATCCCTTACCATGGCGCAGATCTCCTCAATATTCGCACACTCAGGTGTCGTAACACGGGATAGCATTACATGGCATGGCATAGCATGGTGTTGAATGTTAATTCGTAGCATGACGTAGCATGGCGTGGCGACGCCCCAAAATGAGGGGGGGGCTTCTGCGGCCCAACAAATCAAACATAATCGACACCGAATGTGTAATCACTTCCGATGGTTTCTTCGGGAGGCTATTTTTTTTTTGATTTTGGGACTTATTTGGAAAAAGGACCGAACACCACGCCGTGGCACGGCGCTGGAAATACTGACGCCAGCGCTGCAGCGGGAGCACGATTCGGAACGAGCGGAAGCGCGGAAATGAGGCCAGCGCTCCAGCGGGAACACGATTTGGAACGAGCGATAGCCCGAACATGAGGCCAGTGATTCAGCGAGAGCAGCATCCTGATAACAAAAACACAGCGCGGAAGCGCGGACATGAGGACGCGTAGCCTGACATAGCATGGCGTGGCGACGCCCCTAAGTGGGGGGGGGCTTCTGCGGCCCAGAGGATCAACGGATCGACACCGAGTGTGTAATCACTTCCGATGGTTTCTTCGGGGGAGCATTTTCAGGATTTGCGGGCCTATCTGGAAGGACCGAAAACCATGCCGTGGCATGGCGCTGGAAATACTGACGCCAGCGCTGCAGCGGGAGCACGATTCGGAACAAGCGGAAGCGCGGAAATGCGGCCAGCGCTCCAGCGGGAGCACGATTTGGAACGTGCGGTAGCCCGAAAGTGAGGCCAGCGCTTCAGCGAGAGCAGCTTCGAAACAAAAACCAAAGCGAAAACCCGTTTCCCCGGGAATCCTGTGTGTAAAAAACCAGTACGCGCAGAGGGGACGGGCATTTCCCGGACGCCACTAGGGGAGAGAGGAGAGTAGTATTCAGACTGGTTCTGTGTGAAGAGGAGACGGGAGGGTTGATAAGACAATACGGCAGATCAAGATGATGTGGGGAATCTTGGGATTTGTGTGAATTCGTGTGTGTGTGGGTGTGTGTGTGTGTGTCCGTGGGCCCCTTTGGCGGTTCGCGTCTCGCGATTCCTCCTCCTCCTCCTCGCTTTCCGCTTCTCCCCAGTGGGGCCGCCACAAAGGCGCGCCGCTGTTCGCGGCTCGCGGTTTCCGGTTCTCCATTCCTCTTGGATTACATTTTGTCTCCAGGACTCTACGGTTGATGATCCCCAGGTAGCGTGTTGGGTGCAGCCAATATGTCAATGGGCCTTCCTGGTCTCGGATGGGAGCATCTCCCATGACATCTTGCAGCAAGCTTGGCACCGACAAGTCTTCCGCATTCTGCGAGCTCTCCGTGGAGTCAGGTAGCAGGTACGACAGGGGCCATGCTACTGGCATTGCAAGATTCGAAGTAGAGATCTACATCGGCCTGTATCTCTGTCACCGATTCAGGTGACACGTTCGACCTCCGCTTTGACGCACCATTGAACATTCGTGATGCAGCCCGTGCAGCTGCAGTGCGACGCCTTTGGGAGTCTTGGGCTGCGAGGAAGAGCCCAGCGGACGCCAACATGGACCCCAAAGAGCCTCTTGGGTATTGGATAGAGCCCCCTCAGTTGGCGGAAGGCGGCGGGCAGACTGCGATTGAGTTGGGTGGTCTACGAGCTGGGCCCCAGGAGTGCCGCCTTGACGCTGGGCATGTCGGAAGCGCGCGAGAGCTGGCTCATCCACTGGCACGACAGGACACTGTGAGTTTCGCCTTCGCAATGGGTGAGAACAGCGCCCCGTGGGTATTCGCCCAACGTGCACCCTTTATAGCGAAATCTGCTTTGGTGGAACTCCTGGTCGCCACGGTGGGCTTGGCATTGTCCGCGCTTGAGGGCACGCGCATTTCGGAGAGCCGTTGCGTTGCAAGCGTTTTCACGGATTCGCAAGTGTCGAGCTGGGTGGTCGAGCAGCTGCTGAGCACGAAATATCCGATCTGCTCAGTTGAGTCCCGTTGAGTCCGACTGCTGGCAGAAAGGGCTCCGCGAGATTTGAGCAAGCAGGCGGACGACCAGACCAACTGATTATTTGACGGCTCCTCCTCAAAGAACTGCATCGCGATCACAATCGAGGAAAGCAATTCCAAGGTGCTGCCGACTCTCTTGACGGAATCGGGGTCGTTCTCCAAGGATCCGGCCCAGGGATAACAGCAAGTACATCACCGCGAACAACGGCGCGCCAAGCGCGTGAAGCTCCAGGAACGTTAGCCGTGGTAGTAGGCGAGCCTCCCCGACCTCGCCTCTCCTCATCGCCCCCTCTCTTCATCTCTTTGAATTTCCATCTAATTCGCCATTATGTGAGGAAAGGAGAAATATCATCGAGGGCAAACGGTAAAAAGAACCCCCTAACTTTAAGAACGCGATGAAGACGTGGCCTCACTGAGGTCCCCGTCTCTGCATTAGGGATAGTAGATATGGGTGGCTTGGTTCGATACATCCGCCGAACAAGTCCCCCTATCCCTGATGTATTTGGCGCTCCTAACTTAGGCCCACTCCCCAAAGGTTTTTTATAGTTAATCAAAAAAGGGAGGGAGGGGGCGAAGAGGTCATGACTCCAGTCCCGATGCCCTGGGACGCGGCCGCAGGGGTTTCAGAGATTCCAGATTGACCGCTGTATTATGATTGCTTTGCGGACCCGGGCATTGGGGGAGGTCAACGCGTGAGTGGTTCCTGTGTTTGGTGCGACGAGGGTTTCCTTCGGATCTGGGGAGGACGGGCTCGCCTGCGCCTGATACTTGAATCGGCGTGGCATGCTCCATCCATGCGAAAACAGAGCCAAGGGGAAGGAAGAGAGGGATTCCTGAGGGGACGCAGGCCCAAGGGGACCCCTTGCAGCCTGACCCACCGGCCTAGTCTTAAGTCGGGAGTGTCTGTCCACAGGAGGAATATTCAAAAATAGTCAAAGAATAGTCTGGGGATTATCTTTTGGATTACTTGACAATGTTTCACTTATCGTCCAAAATCTCTCTGTAGGAGGACATGCCCGACTTAAGCCTATTCTTCCGTGGCCACTTGGTTCAGAAGGAGCAGATCTTGACTTCCCCCCAGCCTCGTCCACCACCATTGGGCCTGGGGCGGACCCCCGAGTTTGGACCCAGGGGGGAGGACTGCCTCGCCTGCGCTTGGTCGTTGAACGAGTGTGGCATGCTCCGTGCATGCGAAAAAAGAGCCAATGGGGGAGGAGGAGAAGGATTCCGCTTTGCTTTACATCCTCGTGCTCCTCCTCCGTCCTCCTGGCCTTCTTGCCTGTCCTGCTGTACCTGTCAGCAGAAGGCCACCTCGGTAAGTTCCATGCGCGAGAGGACGTTTATCAGCTGAGGCTCTCGCATGACAAATTACTGTAGCATGAGACACGTCAAAGGAAAATTCCGGATACCTCGGGTGGCGCTCCTCATTCATTGTCCTTTTCCGCCTCAGTCTTCCTATTCGCCCTCCTCTTTTCGTTCCTCCTCCTCCTCCTGCCTCTCACCAGCCACGGTCTCTCCTCCCCCGCTCCGCCGACGAGATGCTCGTCTGGCTCGGCCTCTCATTCTCTTCATTGCGCGTCCTCCTCCTCCTCCTCCTCCTGCTCCTCTTCCCCGTTTTCAGGCCTCGTCGCTACACGCGAAAACCTCTCGCTACACGCGAAAACCTCCGATGTTCTGATGATTTCACCCCTCCCAGAGCACAAGTCGGCAACAGACGTGCATCCTCCACGGAGGATGTATGCAAGCGACACCAGCTTTTCGTAGCCGTTGTCATTAGGCAGGGCGTGACTAGATGCAACGGTTCGATGCTTTCGCCGCGCAGCGTGTCAGTTTCCTGGGGCGCCGCGTACCCGCAGGGAAGGTGTTTCCGTGTTTCCGTATGCAGGCCCCGCAGAAAAACAAATTCGACGTCAGACGTGTCATCAAAGTATTCTCTTCGGTCTGACCCCTCCTGCCCAATTTCTCCTCCCTCCCTCCCTGCCGGAGCCTGGAGTTTCGAGGATGGCCAGACCACCTCGCCCGCAGCAGCATCTCGGAGCCCCGACCTGCGAGGGCTTTTCAAGCGAAGCGGGCCAGACGGCCAGACCACTGCGCGAGGAGGAGGAGGAGGAGGAGGAGGAGGAGGAGGAGGAGGAGGAGGAGGAGGAGGGGGAGGATGACAAGCTAGGTGCGCTCGCGTCATATCTGACATCCTACCCCTCCCTCCCATCCCTTACCGTGGCGCAGATCCCCTCTCTACTCGTACAGTCGGATGTCGAGCAGGGCAATGATCCCGAAAGGGTACGCGATGCATTGTAGAGAACGGCGTGGCATGGCGTAGAAGAACACCGCGAAGCGTAGTATCAACCTAACATTGCATTGCATGCCGTGGCATGGCACGGGAAATGACGCCAGCGCTGCAGCGGGAGCACGAGTCGAAACGAGCGGAAGCGCGGAAATGAGGCCAGCGCTGCAGCGGAAGCACGATCCAGAACGAGCGGAAGCACGCCGGAATCGGCCCGGGAGGCAGTCAGCATTTTCAAAAGAAAAATGTGTATTGGAATGGCCTTTTTTCGGTGCCGCCTCGGAACTCGATTTTCCAGCGCCGGCCGGAACCGGCTCCGGACCCGGCCCGGGCGCCGGCGCGGGCGCCGGCTCGGGCGTCAGGCCCGGGCGCCGGCTCGGGCGCCGGCCCGGGCGTCGGAATCGGCCTGGGAGGCCTCCCGGGCGCCGGAAGCAGAAATTCAGCATTTTCAAAAGAAAAATGTGAATTAGAATAGCGTTTTTCGGCGCCGCCTCAGAACTCGATTTTCCGGCGCCGGCCGGAACCGGCTCCGGACCCGGCCCGAGCGCCGGCCCGGGCGCCGGTTCGGGCGTGCAGCCAGGGCGCCGGCGGAAATGAAGCCAGCGCTGCAGCGGGAGCACGATTCGGAGCCAGCGGGGCCCGAAAATGAGGCCGGCGCCTCAGCGAGAGCAGCATTTTGGAAAAAAATGCAGGCGAAAACCCAACTCCGGGGAAACCTGTTTGTGTAAAAAAACAATACACGGGGGGGGGGTCGGCTACTCCCAAGACGTCATCAGGGGAAGAGGGAGAGTAGTATTCATATTGAGTAATTGTGGAGGAGGAGGAGGAGGAGGAGGAGGAGGAGGAGGAGGGGGAGAAGAGGAGGAGGGGGAAGAGGAGGAGGATGAGGAGGAGGAGGAGGAGGAGGAGGAGGAGGTCGTAGTTGTGAGGATGTCTCCGGCGAGACGCGCCGGGCCACCTCTTGCGCAGCAGCTCGGAGCTCAGCGCTGCGAGGATGTCTCGAGCGAGACGCGCCAAACCACCTCGCGCGCGGCAGCTCGGAGCGCACTGTTGCTCGGACTTTCCTCCTCCTCCTCCTCCTCTTCCTCCTCCTCCATCCTCCCTCCTCTTCTTCCTCCTCCTCCTCCTCCTCCTCCTCCTCTCCTTCGTTCTCTCCTTCCTCTTTCGCGCCAGACCACCTTTCGCGCGGCAGCTCGAAGCTCAGGAGGGGGGGATGTCTGAAGCGAAACACACCGGACCACCTCGCGCAGAGCATCTTGGAGCTCGAAGTTGCGAGGACGTCTCAGGCGAGACGCACCAGACCACCTCTCGCGCGACAATTCGGAACCCAGAGTTGCAGGGATGACTCAAGCGGAACGAGCTGGACCACCTCTCGCGCGGCAGCTCGGAGCCCAGAGCGTTGTGAGAGTGTGTCAGGCAACACGCACCCGTCCACCTCGCGCGCGACGCCTCGGAGCTCAGAATTGGGAGGATGTCTCAGGCGAAACGCCCAATCTCGACCAACTCCCAAGCCAGAGTTGTCTCATGCAAAACGGCCTGGACTACCACATTTTCTTGAGTATGTCTCTGCTCGCGCGTCCCTCGACCAGAAGTAGTGCTCCATCACAACACCACCCCATTCAACAAGCCGTTTGGGGAAGCATCGCGATGGGAGATTTTTGGCGATGCTCCGACTCTTGGAGCCCTCTCCGACCCCGGGCACCGTCATGATGAAAACCGGTCTTTGGGGGTTTAAGTATGGCATGTCCCTCTACAGGAGGAGTATTCAAAAATAGCTCAAAAGTGCAATGGGGGCGATGTTCCTATTATTTTTGATTTTTGTTTCAGCATTTTGATTTTTTTTTATCAACAAAAAAACACACACAAAAAAAAACCGCCTGTAGGAGGACACGCCCGACCTGAACCTTGGGAATGGGTCGAGACCTCTGGGGGTCCACGTCATGCAAAGGTCATGACGTCGGGGGCCTGGGGGGCCGGGGCCATTTCGATCCGGTCGCTCCGATCCGACATGGATTCCAGCCAGCCCGATCCGATTCGATCCCGACAGCCGACGATCTGATGCGGCCCGACGTTTACATGGCGTGGTTGCGTATCCTGGCGCAGCCGATCCGACTCATTATTGATTCCGTGCGGATGCGGCCCGAACCGATGCACATGTCGGCTCGACCCGAGCTGCCGATGCGATGCTGACTGAGCCTGCCCGGGGGGCGGGCGCCCCCATGGGGTGGAGCTGCACGAGATGAGAACAGGACCACGAAGAGCGCATGGGGGCCCCCCAGTGGGGCGGAGCACGCAGGCCAGTGCCTCCCCCCTCGCGAGAGGGCCAAGTGACCTCCCACATCGTCGGCTTCCTCAGCCGCACCATCCGGCTCATGGAGGCAGGCATCAAGCCCGTGTACGTCTTCGACGGCAAGCCTCCGGACCTGGTGGAGCCAGAGCTGGGCGGGGCCTGGGAGGGACAAGTTGTGCCAGAGCGTTCCGGAGCGCCCCCAGAGCATTCCAGAGCGCGCCGGAGCGGCGGCGGCGCCATCCAGAGCCAGCCGATCTCAGAGATTCCCACTTCACCCCCGTCCGAGATTGTCCCTGTGGCTTCGTCTTGCAGAGAGTGATGCCCGCACCGCCCTCCGCGCCCTTCCCCGTCATCCTTCCCTCCCTCCCCCTTCCTCCGTCCCCCCTTCCCCTCGCTCCCTGTCCCTCTCTTCCGTCGCATGCTCCCCCTCCCTCCCTGCTCTGCTCCTCCTGGCCCTCCCTCCCTCCCTGATCTTCTCCTCCTCCTTCTCCTCCTCCTCCTCCTCCTCCTCCTCCTCCTCGGTCTGCTCTTCGCCGTTGTCGTCGTCGTCCTCCTCCTGCTCCTCCTCTTCCTCCTCGTTTTCGTGCTCCTCATCCTCTGCTTTTCAGGTGGTTCCTGCACGGGCCACCTCCCTCCCGTTCCATGGCCTCCCCAGGACCTGAAACTCGGCGAGCTGGTGGCCAGGGCGGCCAGGCGAGAGAAGGCGCTCGTGGGACGCCGTCTGTACACCTGCACCGGTCCTGGCGAGGCCAAGCCCTGCGCCAGGATTGATGCACAGTTTGGTCTGGCCAGTGAATCCACCCTGCAAGTTCGTAGGGCCACCCTGCAATATGAGATCTGCCTTGAGTCCCTGGCGATAACAGGCGTGACCGTGCGGGGGGAGCGGGCAAGTCACGTCACGATTCGCGCCAGCGCCGTTAACGAATGCTTAGGAATGGCTAATTCCCACAGCGCTGGCGCGAATCGTGATGTGACCATAGAACGTGGGCTCTGTCAAGGATACCCTCTTGTGTCTTGTCTATCTTGTCTCCTGTCTTCTTCACATCTGGAGTCCAGGATGCCCTCGAGAAAGACTCGTGTCCTCTTAGGTGTCCTCTGCAATCAGCCCTGACCGTACACATTCGGGCCGGACGAGAGGGATCGGGCAGGGAAGGGGGGGGTCACAGAACCTTTTGCGTGCAATCGGTTTCGGCCCTCCCGCGGGGCGATTGCTTTGACACATTGGCGACTCCGGGCGCCGGGAGGCGCCGGGGAACTCAGCTACGTGAGTTGTTGCGCCAACCCCCCCTTTACAGTCGGACCGAGGTATGTGATCGAGGTCGGTTCGGGGAGGGTACCCCGTTGTTCTTCAGGAGGGGAAAAAAACACACAGACACAATTAATCCTCGACTCCCAAGAAAATATGGGAAATTATGGGAAGGGGGGGGCAAGACAAAAGCCCAGAAAATATGGGATAATCTAAGGAATATGTTTATCTATGTGCATTTATGTGTGTGTCCTTGGTCCCCTTGAGTTCTTCGTACTTGTTGGGCACTCTTGTGTATCTTTGGGAGGGTGCCCTCGGATGCTCTGTGCGTCTTGGAGGGCGGAGGGTCGCATGTCCTTGGAGGGTGCTCTCCTGGCCTGGGTCCGACGGTACCTCAGGAGGAGAAAAAGCATACAGACACAATTGCTCGTCGATCCCCCAGGAAATATGGGATCATATGGGCAGTGGGGGGGAAGATAGAAGCCCAGAAGATATGGGAAAATCTGGGGAACCTTTTTATTTGTGTGTGTTTACTTGTGTGTCCCAGGGCCCCTTCAGTACCGTCGGACCCGACGCTTGCTGCAGGCCCTGGCCGAGAGTGCGGTCCTGGGCCAGGTGCAGCGGCCTCGTGCCAGGACCGGAGGTGCTGGTGCACGGCCGGCGTCCTCCCAGCATGAGGTCGGGCATGTCCCCTAAATCAGGACGACCGACATGGGTACGGAAAGAATGGGTACAATGCCCAACAGCAGTTCCTGTTCATTTTGAACAGGACTCGCTGTCCACGCCGCCGCGGCCTGTGTCTATTTGAGACAGAAGGCCGCCTGCCCAACAGCGGCCGCTGTTGGTTTGGGACAACATTTGTTGTTGGGCATTGTACCCATTATTTCCGTACCCATTTCGGGCGTCCAAACTACAGGGGGATTTTTGGCGGCAAATTTTAAAAAATATTCCCCCAAATGTTCAAACATAGTCCAGAAATTGTCCCCCATATTTTTTTGACTATTTTTGAGTATCCCTCTTGTAGAGGGACACGCCTGACTTGATCCCAGCAAGGCCGGGGAGGCGCTGGAGGCGGCCAAGGAGGCCGGCGACGCCGAGGAGGTGCTCAAGGCCACTAAGATGGGGGTGAAGGCGACGGGGGAGCAGAACGACCCCCTCCTCGCGCTGGAAAGACAGAGCCAACACGCCGCACGGTCTTCGCCAATCTGTTCGCCCTTTTCTTGGGGCTGTCACAGGGCCCTGGGGACCTACAAAAACGGCTCGGGAAGAGAAGCCAGTCTTGTGGAAGGGGTCCAGACCCGTGGGGGACCTGAACCTGGAGGAGGAGGAGGAGGAGGAGGAGGAGGAGGAGGAGGAGGAGGATTCCCTTCGGCGCATCAGGACCCACACCAGGACTCAATGGTGTTCGGCAGGCTGCGACTGTTTAAAGAATGGCTGGCGCTCCTGCCGCGACTCACAGAGGATCGCAGGCAGGCGCTCGAGATAGCTTGGAAGAAGGCCTGGACGGCGCTGCAGACGGCAAACAGTAAATGGAGCCGAGTCAAAGGCACGCTCACAGCTACAGTCGCCGCGCTGCAAGATCTAGGATTCTCCTCACAGTTTCCCGGGCTTTGGCGGAACCAAGATGGGGAGAGATAGACATAGATAAGGAGAATCCCGAGCGCGTGCTCGAATATGAATGCTACGGTGCTCTGGACCAGCAGTCTTGGCTTGCAGCGGCCAAGCACTACAAAGGCAAAAGGCTTGAGTTTGGCCCAGATTTGTACACCAATCAGGCTCGCATGCGCCTTCTCAACAAAAGAGGCAATTTATGACGAGCTAGGAATCTTTCGAATGATCATGGCAGGAGCGCTATGGCCAGCCAGTCGCAGATTTGGTGACGAGGCGGTGAGGCCCCCCCAAGCTCCACCCCAAGAGGCCAGAGAAGATCCACCTCCCCACCAGCCCCCTGAGGACCAGCTTGGCCACGAGGAGGGAAGGGAGGAGGTGTTCGACTTTGAAGACATGCTCAGACAGGCCCAGGAGGAGGAGGAGGACGTGCAGGCTTGGGAGGGCCCACCAGAGTCGCCCGCGATGGAGCCAGATGCGCCCTGCAGACCCTGCCAGCCCACCTTGACCAGCCCAGCATGCCCCATATGCCTTGCCCCACAGGAAACATTGTTTCACCAGTTTTGGGAATGCCCTGCCAACGCTCAGATGTAATGGCTTCCCCGAGAGCTCGAGTTCCAGACCCAGCAAGAAGCAGACGAGGCCCCGTGCTTCTGGCTCAGAGGCCTGGTTCGTGTTCTTTAGACCTACCAGCATGCCACCAGGCCTGTACAAGAGTCAGTTGTGCTAGGGGGACCCTCTTGGAGAACCCCAAGTGCCCGCTAGGGCTCTGCACGGTGGTCACGACGGACGGGCCTGGAGGCAAGTCCCGTGAAAATGTTCGCCTGCGTCGTTCCCGTTTGGGCTGTGCAGTAGTTCAAGGATGGGAGCTCGTGGCATGGGCGTGTGGCCCAGTGAACCACTGGAAGCAGACCGTCCCGATAGCAGGGCTTGCGGCCGCCACCGACGCAGTTCGCATGACCGAGGGCCCACGGGTGCTAGCTGTAGACGCTCAGAGTGTGGTCTCGGGAATTTCCAGGCCAGTCATGACAGCGATGGTCGGCAGTGGGAAGAATTCTGGGAGCGCTGCAGGAGATCGGCAGACATAGGCCATTAAGATTAAACCCCACCAGTCAGTTGAGCAGGCGCAGCAATCGGGAGTTCCTCCACAGCATTGGTTGGGCAACCAGTTGGCCGACAGCTTCGCCGAAGAAGGTGCCCGCACAGCCCAGTTGCCCGCAGAAGACATCGATGCGTTAGCCATTGCAGTGCACCCCCGTTTGATTTGAGTGGCGGCCCACACAGCGGAGCACGCCCCACATATTCATGGAGCCCCGTCGAAACAAGATAGGCAGCATGAGGCCAAGGCTCGGGTGGAGGTCGGAAGGAGGAGGTTGAAACTGCCGCAGTCACCTCTGAGTACCGAGTTCGAACTGGCGCCAGAGGAATTTTCTGTGAAGCCTGTCACGGGCGCCCCACCGCAGCATGCCCGAGGCTGCAGTGGCTAAGAACGCCGTGCCGAGGCTGCCCACTGTGTGTGGACCCGACCCAAAGGTTCATGAGGTACCGTGGTGTCCTCGGGTGCCGCGCCTGCGGGGGGGTCGGGGCCAGCAGTTTCTGCAAATAGGGGGAACCGTGCAACTCCAGTCACTCCGTCCCCAAACATAGGGGGAGGGCCATCAGCGCCCTTGAGGAGTGTAGGTCGCCGCCTGGGTATAACGAGTGGCCCCAGCCAGAGGACCTGGATCCCTCCAGAGAGGTGGCCATGTAGTGGCACGGCCACAGCGCTACCTGTTAGAGAACTCGTGCACAAGGATCGGTAAGCGGTAACAAAAGGAGGAGGAGGAAAAGGAAGAGGAGGAGGAGGAGGAGGAGGAGGAGGATACTTGCAGGAGGAGATGTACCGATATCGCTGCTCGTTCTGGGAGGAACACTCGTCTCCACGGCTGGACTCTTCTCGAGACACTTGTCCGCCGAAGGCGCCCCGGGAAAAGGTCCGTGGAGCAGCCCGATTGGCACTTTGTTGTCCCTCCGGAGCAGGATGAAAAGGAGGAGGGGGAAGAGGAAACGGAGGGGGAGGAGGACGGGGAGGAGGAGGAGGAGGAGGAGGAGGACGAGGAGGAGGAAAAGGAGGAGGAGGAGGAGGAGCATGGGGAGGATGAGGAGGAGGAGGAGGGGGCGGAGGACGCGGAGGAGGAGGAGGCGGAGGCGGAGGAGGAGGGAGGAGGAGGAGGAGGAGGAGGAGGAGGTCCGTTGCCATGTTGGCTCAAGTGGGAACAGGTCCCATGTGAGCGGGCAGCTCTCTCTCGAGCAATCCAGTGTGTCGTGCACTGGCGGACACCTCGCACCTCCGCCCCCCAGTTTTCTGTCAGCTACCCAGTAGCAGAGGGTGCCCCCCATTCTTGTGCGGGCGACAGATGACCGATGTGGCAGAGCGTTCGACAGCAGGTGCTCCCCCCAAGGTCTCGCGGGGAGAAGACGGCATGCGTCTGCCCGCCGCACGTGCAGGGGATGCAGAAGAATATGGGTTCATCTCAGCAGGAGACGACGAGGAGCGTCCACGGGTTGCGGCATCGGCTGGCACGGGTGTTCCTGTTTCTCCTCCTCGTGCTGGCGCTGGCTCCATCCAGCCCGACCCCGAAGCGTTGGCGCTCAAATCTCATGTTGGCGCATCGCACAACAAGGTCATGGCCGCCACCGCCGCTGTGCAAGCCAATGTGGCCGCCTTGTCGACTGCCATGTCCAACCACGCTGAGAACGTCGACAGGCAAGTGGAAGCCAGGATGCGTAGAGCCGAAACACAGCTCACCGAGCACGAGGAGCACATTTCGTCCCTCGGGAATCAGATCACGTACCTCTCCGAGCAGATGTGTTGCATCAAGTCAGAGGAGCCCGTGGTCCCAGCGGCGCCTTCCACCTTCGCAGACCCCCGAACCCCTCGATCATTGTGGTCAGGCGCAAGGAGTTGGTCGCAGCGGGCGCAGTCCGCGCTGCCGTTTCTTCGTGGCTGCTCGAGACAAATCCCGAGGTGGAAGATTGGGAAATCATTTCATCAGCACAGGCACCGACAAGCAAACGTCATATCATCCAGATCATTGGCAGTCCTCAGTGGGCAGCCAGATCGGTCAAGCAGGCTCTGGGCGCACTTCGCAACCGTGATGGAAGTTGGAAGAAGTTCCAGGCGAAGACGCCGATGGGCCAGGTGGTGGATCTCTCTGCCAGCGCCGACAGAAATCAGTTTCAAGTACGCCGTGAACTCGGACGTAAGCTCATCCGCCGTGAGTTCGAGCAGACCTACCCCGACACGCGTTTCTTCGTGGACCGCGAACGCGGTGATATCTCCCTGGCTTGGAAGCGGCTGCCCCGCTACACGCCTGCGTCCGACGGCCCCCCGACGATCGAGTGGAACATCGCGAACGTGGAGGCGCTGCAGCTCTGCAAGACGACGCAGTTGGAGCCGCGTGTGCTGGCGCTCTTCCAGACCCCGACGGACGGGGGCGCGCGGTTTCTGCAGCGCGTTTTCGAGGCCCTGGTCGGCGTCCAGCTCCGACAGTGCTTCGCTCAGTTTAGCTGGAATGCGAATGCTCTCTGCCACCGCTACCCTCCCACAAGATCTCAGAGGTTCAATTACCTCGCCCCCCTCGTGTCTCCGACGAGTGTCGCGGCAGTCCAAGAGACCCGCGGCGCAGAAGAAAAAGCTCGTAACTTGGTTCATTTTGTTCACAAGCCGCACGAGTGCCACGCCTGTTTCAAGATGAGCCCCGCCCCTTCTCTAGAGGAGGACGGGGTCTGGATTCCCGACCCTTGCGCGGCAGGTGCCATCACGCTGATCCCTCGGGCATCGAATCCTGAGATTGTCCTGGAGACGTTTCCAGAGGTCCTGGCCCCCGGTCGTGCGTTATGCGTAATCATGGTTTTTGATGACGGAGACCCCTGGATCGCACATTACAACATGCACAATTTTGGGCTTGCCGCTGAGCAAGAGAAACATATTATGAATCACATCGAACATCGTCGTCAGCTGGCCGCCGAAGATCCCCGGCATAAACTTGCCGTCGTCGTGGGGGGCTATTGCTGCCGCCCCGCCGATCCCCGTCGATCCGGCCCAGTTCCAGGACCCTGGCACAGGTTGCCAGACGCGGCGAGGCGCGCAGGACGCCGCGCGGCGCAAGTGCTTCTCTTCCTTGGTCGGGATCCAGCAGCAGGATCCGACTCGCATCTACGCCCCCAATGCCACGATGAGCATCATAGATAGGGCGTTCACTTCGCTTCCCGCTTGGGTGGTCTTACAGCTGAACATTTGTGGCCATACCTGTGGTCTGACGGAGGTGGTCTACTCTAAGAAGCTCTCATGCCACGCTGCTATCAGAATGGACTTCAGAGTTGCCCCAAAGAAGGACCCCGACACCAGAGGCATCCAGGAGGATTCATTTGAAACCGACACGTGCCAGAGATTCATGAAAGCCCACCTGGAAGCCAGCAACATCGAGAACTTGTCTTCCCCATCAGGCTGCTGTATTTTAAGTCGCCCATGAAGGAAGCGGCCAGGTTTGCTCGCAATAGTCTGCTGCATGGTGCGCGCGGCGCTCAGGATGGCTCTTCTCTCATGGGCAGAATTATGTCATGCAGATCTATTGGGCGCGCAGTCTGGCGACGGGACTTTCGACTGGGCTCTCGCCTCGTCGGCGCGCATCCCCTCGCCGCCCGCTTCTTGGGTATCTGTCAGGTTTTGAAGCGCCTTTGGCTCACCGAGCAATCGCACTTCGAGAAACTCAAGAGGCTGGCCCAGAACATCTCGAAGCTTTCGGGAGGATCAGAACGTAAACGGCTCCGACAGCGGCTCCAGAGGCTTCAGGAGAGAGCTCGTTTGTGGGCCCCATTCGACAAGCGACTTTTCATTCGAGGCATCCGGGTGGACGAGCAGGTGGCCACGGAACCGTCTGATATGGCTGCTCGTATTTCTGGTTACTGGCGAGAGGTCTTTAGCGACAAGTCCACACCTCATGCGCCTGCTCAGGCCTACATAGAGCGGTTCGCGTCGCCCATCGATTTGAGCCAGATCCCTCCGCCGTCGCAAAAGCCGATGGCTGCTGTTTTGCGTCGCCTCTCGCACAGCGCACCTGGCCCTGACTGCATTCCGCGCGCTGGGTGGCAGAAGACCCCGCAGGCTCTGGAGGTCTGACTGAGATGACGTTCTGGCCCCTGGATGGTGGATGGGCGCTTTCAGGATTCAACGATCTCCTTGGTATTTTTCCCCCTAAGGGCGAGTAGGGGGATTATTTTGCGGGGGGGGGGTTCGTCCGTGAATGCAGTCAGCTCAGACCCCTGGGCCTCAAGAACACCGACAACAGAATCATCGCCGCCACGTGCGTGGTCTCGTTCTCCAGGGAGCGGTCCAAGGTTGCCAGCGGCCTCCAGAGGGGCTTCATCCAGGGGCGTCAATTTTGATCCAATAGTATTGAGCTGGACGCCCACGCCCGAGCCTATGCCGTGCCATCCTGCGCAGAGTTGGACCTCCCTGCGCTGGTCGCTATCGACTTTGCACAGGCTTTCCCTTCGGTTTCCCACCGCTGGACGCGTTTGATGTTGAAGGCCATTCGCCTGCCAGACGCGCTGGTCGACTTTCGGATGTTGCTGTGCAAGGGGGTCAGCTGTTTCTCGGAGTTCGGGGGGGTCCTACGATTTATGTTTCCGATCATGTCTGGGATTGTCCAGGGCTGTCCTGCGTCTGGAACGATATTCGCTGTATGTATGGACCCCTTTGCTTGTGACTTCGACCGCTCTATCGAGTCGAAGGCACGGGGCATCGTCCGCCGTTGCGCGGGCGACGTCGGAGCCGCCATTTTGAAGCTGCAGTTTATGGCCCAGCTCTTCAGGATTTTCAGTGCCGCCGAACAGATTGCTGCCCTCGTGTTGAAGACCTGCAATTGCAATGGCCTGATGCTTGCTGGGCCGTACTCCGAAGCTCTGGCCAACAAATACAAGCAGCGTCTTTCTTCGGTGGTCCCATCCTGGTCTGAATTCAAAATCGTCAGTCTCCTGAAGTACCTTGGTATGTTCCTGGGCCCTGAGGCAGAGCTTTGTTGCTGGTCAGCCCCGTTTTTGAAGTGGCGAACCCGTGCTTTTGAACTGTCTGGCGTCGGCGCTGCTTCGACCGTATCATCGCGTGTTTATTCATCCCGTGGTGCTTCCGTCCTCTCTTACGCGGCGCAGTTTGCGCCGACGCCTGCCGGCCTGCCCCGCTACGGAGCGGCCATGCTTGCCCGTGTTTTCCATGTGCCGCATTGCGGATTCGCACGAGCCACGTGGTATAATTGGGGGGAATGGGGGGGGCCGAAGGTGAGATCACTGGAACTGGTATGCTTATCTGCCAGAATTCGTGCAGCGTCGACGACGTTCAAGTGGAGAGACTCCCACGATTTTCCCTATCGTGCGGCCCGTCGGCAGCGACCCATCGTGGAATGGCAGATGGGAAAGCATCCCCCGCCGCATTGGATGCCCATGGCACTATGCCAGCACTTCGCTGACGCATTCCACGGGCCCCCAGAGTCCAAGCGACACTCGAGGTCGAAGGATGTGGCTTCTGAGCTCCAGAGGTTATTTCGTGATCATGTTTCCCAAAGTCTGAGTCCCAGACAATTCAAGCCCCAGAAGCAACTTGTAAATAAGCGAACGCCTTTATTTTATCCTGAGCCACCGTCTACTGTTTTGGGCGCAGCTCCTCGACTGGTTTCCTGAAAAGATGCCTTGCATCCTTGCCGTCGGGTGGGAGTCCGTTCGGCTTGCTCTTGCTTCCTTGCCTGTCTCTCTGGCTTCGGCCGCTGCTCGGACGCCATCGAACGACTGGCTCACCCAGTGTAGGTTTCAACAGACATCAAATGCGCACTGCATGCTGGGTTGCACGGAGTGCATACAGGGCTCAGACAGGATTGAGCATTATTGGCAGTGCCCCATATTTGGTTCTCTCCTTGTCTCGATCGTTGGTCCCCTCGCTCCTCTTCCCCTCGATCGCCTTGGTGTCATTACTCCGTCGAAGCAGGCAATGCTGGCCCTTGCGTGTGGATATCTGTTGTGCAATGAATTTCGCGCCAAAGCCCAGCATGTACGTCGCCCTCTTTCTTTAGCGGAGTCGCACAGGCCCTCCCCCCAACCGTTCGCAATCAACTGCGACGGTGATGCGATGGACTTGCTCAGGACTGCCCCCGCCCCCGTTTGGCCACGCAGCGGGGGGGAGGGGGAGGAGGGGGAGGAGGGGGAGGAGGAGGAGGAGGAGGAGGAGGAGGAGGGGAAGGAGGACGAGGATGACGATGAGGAGGAGGGGGAGGAGAAGGAGGGGGGAGGAGGAGGATTGAATACGATAACGCGTGAGAAGCATACATTTTCGAAGGTCTGCGCGGATTTACTGGATCGGCGCTGGGCCCCCCTGGCGGCGCCTCGGGCGCCGCCCCGCGTACCGGGGAGGGAGTTCCAGGGATGAGCGGAGAAGCTCGCGCGGACCTCGGAAGTTTCTGTTGATGCAATTTTTGTTGCCTAGAGGAGGGCGATGGTCGAAGGAATATGTATCACCGTCACCACTGCAACCGCGTGAAGGGGGGGTCAGGTGCGACGGGGTGCCTTGTTTCGGGCGTTTTCGCGAAGCATTGTCGGACCGACAAGGATGATGATGATGATGATGATGATGATGATGATGATGGTGATGGTGATGGTGATGATGATGATGATGATGATGCTGATGTTGTTGATGATGCTGATGATGATGACGGTGATGAAGACGATATTGATGACAATGATGATGCTGTTATTGATGATAATGGCGATGCTGCTGGTGATGATTATGGTGGTGGTGATGATGATGATGGTGATGGTGGTAATGATGATGGTGATGGTGATGGTGGTGGTGGCGATGGTAGTTGTGGTGACGGTGATGATGATGTTGATGATGATGGTGGTGGTGGTGATGGTGGTTGTGGTTTTGGTGATGATGTTGCTGCTGATGATGCCGATGCTGTTGATGATGATGGTGGTGGTGGTGAGGGTGGTTGTGGTGATGATGATGATGATGGTGGTGGTTGTGGTGGTGGTGGGGTTGGTGATGGTACGTAGTGGTGGTGGTGATGATGATGACGCTGTTGATGATGCTGATGATGTTGATGGTGATGATCATGTTGATGATGATGCTGTTGATGGTGATGACGAGGATGATGATGGTGAGGCGGGTGATGATGCTGCTGATGCTGCTGATGATGATCGTGGTGATGCTGATTATTATGCGGATGGGGGTTATGATGAAGCTGAGGATGATGATGATGGGGATGATGATGAAGATGATGATGATCATGATACGGGTGATGATGATGATGATGATGATGATGATTATGATGATGATGATGCTGATGGTCATGGTTACGATGACGGTGATGATTGTGATCACGACGATTACGATGATGATGGCGATGCGGATGACGATGATGATGGTGATGGTGGAGGTGATGGTGATGATAATGGTGGTGGTGATAATGCTGATGGTGGTGGTGGTATGATTTTGAGGATGCGGAGGCAGAGGAAAAGGACGAGGAGGTGGGAATACGGGGGGGTGATGCGGAGGGAGGAAACGGAGGAGGAGGAGGACATGGAGTAATGTGTGTGGAGGAGGAGAAGGAGGATTATGCAGGAGGCGGAGGAGAAGGAGGCGGACCATTGTAACCCCAAGACTCATCAACGATGATGAAATACACCTTCCCTCCAAGATCCCCCCTCATAGTCCTCTGCAATGGGTCATTTCCACTCAGGGAGTTGCCCTGTTGGGGGACAACCGTGTGAACATCTTGAAACGCGCCAAATCACCATTTTAAGGACTTCGACGCCACGAGTTAACTGGATTGTTACGTCTTGGCGATCCTGAATCGTAGCAGAAAGCCTTAGGACTTCAACACCGCGAGTCAAGGCAACTCTTGCGCCCTGACAGTCCTGAATCGTTCCAAACCACCATATCTGGTAAATGCACGAAGAACCCGGTGAAACTCTGGCGATTGTTTCAAACGAATATGCGCGGCGCTGAGGCGAGAGCCACACTTTGAAAACGAACCGCCCTTAATCAGGGAAACTCTTGCGTTTTTCAATGAATGTTCGGTGCGCGCAGGCGAGAGCCACATTTTGAAAACGAGCCGCCCTCAATCCGTGCAGCTCTTGCAAATGCTTGGAACGAAGCTGCGCGGCGCTGAGGCGAGAGCCACATGTTAAAAACGAACCGCCCTCAATCCGTGGAACTTGTGCAAATGTTCAAAACGAATGTGCGCGGCGCTAGGGCGAGAGCCGCATGTTGAAAACGAACCGCCCTCAATACGTGAATCTCGTGCAAATGCTCATTTGAATCTGCGGGGCGCTGAGGCGAGAGCCACATGTTGAAAACGAACCGCCCTCCATCCGTGGAACTCGTGCACGTGTTCAAAACGAATGTCCGCGGCGCTAGGGCGAGAGCCACATTTTGAAAACGAGCCGCCCTCAATTCGTGAAGCTCTTGCAATGCTTGGAACGAATCAGCGCGGCGCTGAGGCGAGAGCCACATGTTGAAAACGAACCGCCCTCCATCCGTGAAGCTCGTGCGAATGTTTATTTGATTGTGCGGGGCGCTGAGGTGAGAGCCACATGTTGAAAATGAACCGCGCTCCATCCGTGAAACTCGTGCAAAAATTTAACACGAATGTCTGCGGCGCTAAGGCGAGAGCCGCATGTTGAAAGCCACCCGCCCTCAATCCGTGAACCTTATTGCACATTTTAAAAACGAATGTGCGCGGCGCTAAGGCGAGAGCCACATTTTGATGACCAATCGCCCTCCATCCGTGAACTTTTTGTCAATTTTTGACCTTCGGGTCATACGTGGTGAGGAAGTCTTAGGCGAAACGCCCGGCCCACCCTTCCGACCGTCTTCGGGGTGCGACAGGGAGGAGTTATGCGTAAGGAAAAGGAGTGGAGGAGGAGTAGGAGGGAGGAGGCGGAGAAGAAGGAGGAGGAGGAGGAGGGATCAGGGGGAGTGGAGGAGGGATGAGGTGGGGGAGGAGGCGGCGGAAGCGGCGAAGGTTACGAAGGAGCAGAACGAGCAGACCAAGCAGTTGCTGCGCCTCATGGGCGTGCCGGTGATCGAGGCCCCCAGCGAGGCCGAGGCCACTTGCGCGGCGCTCTGCAGGGCCGGCAAGGTCTACGCTGCCGCCACGGAGGATGCCGACTGCCTCACCTTCGGGACCAAGCTGCTCATCCGCAACCTACTGGCCGCCGAGGCTCTCGAAGAACTGGAGCCCGCTGGGCGGGCGTCACGGCGGGCCCCCAGGGGGAAGCTCGCACGCAGATGTTTGCCATCAGTGGGTGTTAGGGATGCTGCCTTGACGAGGGTCGGCACCAATCGTTGCAGTGTTTCTTCGGTGCGTATTTGCGCCCCTTGGGAGATTAGGCGGGCTTGGAGGCCAGCTCTCGAAGAAATTCAATCGTTTCGTTCATTCCGCTGGCCCATGTACACGCCGGTCGTTGACAGCAGGTGTTTCTGGTTTCACAGGTCCCAATCTACCTTAGGCGCCTTCCTACCTCAAGAGTCAGCGGCAGTCCCTCTTCCCTCTTTTCGGGGGCGCGGGCGGAAGCGCAATCCGTTCCCAACGCCCTCCTACCTGATTCCTCCACCCGCTTCTTCCGACCGACGGGCAGTGTTCTAGTGGCCTCGGGCCAGACTGGGAGGTCTGCTGGACCATCTTGGACGCACTAGCGCCTCCAGCCCAACCCCCTCCTTGGCCCAGGGGAGAGGGTGAGTAAGGAGGGGGTAAACCCGTCCCCCGAGCAGGGGGAAGAAAGAATTCTGCCAGAGAGGAGGCAAGAGTTCGTTCAACCACCTGCGCTCACGGTGCTGGTGGGATTCAATCGTTTCGCTCATTCCGCTGGCCCATGTAGTGGTCTAGTCAAGGGCGCCCTCGATGGCGCGATTTTATTCGCGCTTCGCGTTTCGGCTCCGATTCCTCCTTCTCCCCTGGGGGGCGGCGCGAGAGCGCAAAGTTGTTCGCATGTCGCGCTTCGCGCCGCGAGAAGCGCGAAGTCAGGCACCCTCGGAGAGGGTGCCCTGATGTTTTTCGTGCTTGTTGGATGCTCTTGTGCATCCTGCGGGGATGTTCTTCTGTCCTAGGTCCGGCGGCATTGGCACAAGCATGAATTTCAGGAGGTCTGCATGGATTTCTTGGATCGGCGCTGTGCGCCCCTGGCGGCGCCTCCGGCGCCGCCCCTGGCGCGCGGAGCTTTGGCAGCGCCTTCTAGGGGGCCATGCTTGGGTGCGCGGATCGAACTCGCGGAGTTCCGCAGTCCCCCCTCCCCCTGGCGCTAAGGATCTTCACCCAGACATCCGGCTGCTCCATTTGTTTTTTCGATGCGTGGGTCCCGAAGGTCAAGACCACTTCCCTGGGGCCAGTTTAATCCCGAGCCGATTTTTGACGCTCCCGAGGCCCGGCGAGGGCCCCTCGAGGCCGAAAACGGCCGAATTCCGCCTGCCAAGTTTTTGAAGCGTCGGAGCTCTGGGCCCGCAGCAGCAGCGGCTTGCGCGGTTGCGTTGGGCCCCTGCGGGGCGGAGTTCCGCAGGCTCCCCTTGGCGCTGAGGACCTCCATGCAGCAGCAGCGGCAGCGGCCGTCGCGCGGCTGCGTGGGGCCCTGCGGGCGGCCCTGAGGGCACCACTCCCCGCCTGCCAGAGAGGAGGGCCCAGTGTCGGGGGGGCGGCAAAGAGGGGGGTGATGACTGGGGGTGTGTGGATATCATGGCGGGGGCCATGATCTCTCCCCAGATTTCGTGGCGCCTCTTCTTATTTCATTATGTCCCTGCCCCCCCCCCTGGGCCCTGCACATGCCGCTGACCATGATTTGCTCCCCCCCTCTCGGACGCCCCCCTTTTGGCCGCCCCCGACAGTGCCGATCCACAGCATCCACGCGGAGTTCTTAGAGCTTCTGTTTAAGTTGATTTCCCTTGCGCTATGCGAGAAGCACCGATGCTGCTATTTACCCTTGCCTCGTTTTTGCATTTTTCGGCGTCCTGGGAGGCCCTCGACGCCCAGCCGGATTCGCCTCGGAGTCCTGGTCAGAACGCACCCTGGTAGAGGTCTGAGGATTAGCGGTATCGCTATCTGTTCGTTCCCCCAGGGGCAGTTGAGGCAACGGTAGTTTGCTTTCGGGTGGCCCTCTCGTCACCACGGTTGAACACAGCTCGGAAATTTAGTGCGGTTGGACTCCCCAGGAGGGATTCGTGGACCGATTTTGGGTTGCTGTTGTATCAATTCGCCTTGCTCCGAGAGGCTCAGAAGAAGACGATCTTCGAGATCAACCTCGAGGTGGCTCTCGAGCAGCTGGGCGTGACGATGGACCAGTTCATCGACTTCTGCATACTCTGCGGCTGTGACTACGCCGACACCATTAAGGGTATCGGTCCCACCACGGCCATGAAGCTTGTGATGCAGCACGGCTGCTTGGAAAAGGTGTTGGAGAACTTGGATACGTCGAAGACGCCGGTCCCTCCTGGTTTCCGGTGCCAGGGTTTGAACCACCAGTCTCTGAACACGATTGTCAGAGTGAGGGGGCCGAACGGTCATTCATTGTCCCTTGGTGCGTGGCTGAAGTGGAATTCCGCGGTGCGGATTCTCGTTGTTGTTGTTGTTGTTGTTGTTGTTGTTGTTGTTGTTGTTGTTGTTGTTGGTGTTGGTGTTGTTGTTGTTGTTGTTGGTGTTGTTGTTGTTGTTGTTGTTGTTGTTGGTGTTGTTGTTGTTGTTGATGTTGTTGAACATTATTTATTCTAAAGAATAATTATTGTTGGGCCCCCTGGTGCGCGCCCCCCCTGCGCCGCCTAGGCCGCAGCTACATTTTCATCGTTTTCGTGAGGAAGCCTCAGAACAGAGGGTGTGTACAGGATCCGGTTGTTTTGTTGTAGTCCGCTTTCCCTTGCAAAAAACAATAGAAAATGACATTTCTTGTTCTAATATAATCAAATTTCAAGAATCCCTTGCAAAAAATAAGGTAAAGTGGACATTCGCGCGCGCAAGACGAAATCCTTCCAAAACCTTAGTGTTCGCAGCGATTTTAACATAAAAACATCAAAAAACCAATGGTTTTTCAACAAAAAATTGTCAAAATCTCATCCCGCGCGCTCTTGCGGATTCGTAGGAAACCCAACACTTTTTAAACATTTCTGTCAAACGGGCTTTTGCGAGCAACTTTTTCGAACTTCTGCGACAACGGTTGCGCACCTGCCAGGGCCATCATCCCTGTCAAATAATACCATGCGGGACACATTCGTTTTTTCTTCGCGCGCGCACGCCGAAATCTCCAAAAACCATTGGGCTTCTTAAGAATTTTAGCACCGCGCATCATAAAATCACACGAATCGCACCGTAGGTCCTCGAAAAACACCGACGAGGAGGTGGCCGAGGGTATGAGGCGCTGGGAGAGCCCACCCGGCGGGCAGCGGTCGGTATGCAACTGGCTCAAGCAGCTGCGCGAGAACACGTGGTTCGCGACTGCAGTGTACTTTCCGTGTATGTGGCAGGGAATCATGGGTGTATGCCTCTGCGTATCGACGCCGGAGAGTACGCGTGAGTCCAAGGTGAACGCCACGGTCGAGAACCAGCGCCGTATTGGAGGCATCCAGACCCCAGAGTGGATGGCCTTCGACGTATACTTCTACCCTGGCTTGGTATTCGGCAACCTTTCTGGTTTCGTAGATCTACCCGCGACGTATCTTGGCACACTTTCGGACGTATTCCAGCGGCTGTGCACCCAAGCTGGTATACCGAACTGGAGAGCGCACGTCTTCGTCGGGCCCGGCGGCTGGGTGTATGCGGGCTTGCGCAGGCTGTTGCATCTCCTGGGTATTCACGTGCACTCCGAGGTGGTATCAGGTCTGTCGTACAGGCGCATGGCGAGCCTGGACGTATTTGTGGCAACACACACGGGACCCATGGGTGTTGAGCCGCAATCTATGGCTCTGTGGAATGCCTCCCACGACGTCAACGATGGTATCACCTATTTCCCGAAGCAGGACCATTGGTGGCACGTGCCAGTATGGCGTTCTTGCGGGCAGTCCCAGTATGGCAATGTCATGGATTACCAGGTGGATCTGCGTATGCCGGCGCATGTCCAGGGCGTCCTGGCGGCATTGGCGCCCCTCGCACGCGCGGGCGATGTATCCGTGAGGAGGCGTATCGGCACCATGCTTGGACACTTGGCCCCTGATGTATTTCTGCCAGGAGCCCAGCTGGCAGCATTGCGCCCCATCCGTGCCATCAGGGACGGGCGTATGCCAGGAGATGACGAGCACACGAACTCGTCTCTTTAGAGCCGCGGCGGGGAAAAGACGGTGGGTGGGCGTGCAAGCGCCGTTCCCGCCCCTCCTCTCTCTTCTCTCCTTTCCTCCTTGTCCTGCTCCTCCTCCTCCTCCTCCTCCGGCGGGGGGCGTGAGGATCCGGCATCGCTCACAACCATCGGGACAACCATCGGGACAACCATCGGAACAACCATCGGGACAACCATCGGGACAATCATCGGGACAGTCATCGGGACAACGATCGGGACAAGCACAACCATCAGGACAACCATCGGGACAATCATCGGGACAACGATCGGGACAACCACAACCATCAGGACAACCATCGGGGCAACCATCGAGACAACCATCGGGGCAACCATATCCTCTCTCTCTTGTGTATTCCCACATCCCTCAGGAATTTGCCCTAAAGATGTGATCAACTATCTTGTGAGTACGTATCATGTGTATCATGTGTATCATGTACCATATGCATCATATGCAACAGATGTTCTGTGGAAGGCTTAACAACTTCTGTGGGTTAACAAGGCTTAACAACTTCTGTGGGTGTACGAACGTAGGCTTAACAACTTCTGTGGGTGTGTACTCCACGCCAGTGTAGTAGCCACGGTCGTCCGCAGGCCACGAAGTGAAGTGTCCGAACGTCATAGGGCGGGAAGCTGGGTGTGGGTGGTGGCGAAGAGTCGTGTGGATATTTGGTAGAGCTTGCACTGCCCCCCCACAAAGTGGGGGTATTGGCTGGCGTCGCATGAAAACCCTGGCACTGGTGAGAACACTGAGCGTTCGGGTAAAGTGATTGTTGTTGTTGTTGTTGTTGAACCTTAATTACTAAACAATTATTATTGTTGGACCCCCTATATTCGCCCTGGCGCTCTCGCCGAGGCGCCGGCCGCATTTCCTTTGAAATTGAGGCTCACGCTCAGGCGTTTTGGGGTTCCGCCAAAACCGGCCCCCAAACAACAACAACGCTCCGGCTCGAGACTTCCTCCTTTTTTACTCGGGCTCGGTGCTCTTGCTCGCCGCCGAGAGCGGCTCCCGGGCCGGACGCCCGGGTCGGCGCCCGAGCCGGCGCCCGGGCGCCGGAAAATCGAGTTCCGAGGCGGCGCCGAAAAAAGGCCATTCCAATACACATTTTTCTTTCGAAAATGCTGAATTTCTGCTTCCGGCGCCCGGGAAGCCGTCCGGGCCGATTCCGGAGCTCGGGCCGGCACCCGGCCCGGCTCCCGGGCCGGACGCCCGGGTCGGCGCCCGAGCCGGCGCCCGGGCGCCGGAAAATCGAGTTCCGAGGCGGCGCCGAAAAAGGCCATTCCAATACACATTTTTCTTTCGAAAAAAATGCTGAATTTCTGCTTCCGGCGCCCGGGAAGCCGTCCGGGCCGATTCCAGAGCTCGGGCCGGCACCCGGCCCGGCTCCCGGGCCGGACGCCCGGGTCGGCGCCCGAGCCGGCGCCCGGGCGCCGGAAAATCGAGTTCCGAGGCGGCGCCGAAAAAAGGCCATTCCAATACACATTTTTCTTTCGAAAATGCTGAATTTCTGCTTCCGGCGCCCGGGAGGCCGTCCGGGCCGATTCCGGAGCTCGGGCCGGCACCCGGCCCGGCCGGCACCCGGCCCGGCTCCCGGGCCGGACGCCCGGGCAGTTCCGATCGCGCCGAAAAGAAGGCCATTCCAATACACATTTTTCTTTCGAAAATGCTGAATTTCTGCTTGCGGCGCCCGGGAAGCCGTCCTGGGCCGATTCTGGAGCGGCTTTGGGCCGGACGCCCGAGCCGGCGCCCGTACGTGGTGCTTCTCTGCTTCTGGCGCCTGCGCAGCTTCCCGAGCCGCTTCTGGAATCATATCTGGGCCGGTCCAGCGATAGGTTTCCTGGATGTGCTGAACCATCCAACTTTTTGAGACTTCTGCGTCTCAAGGATAGGGAGAGAAGACATTAAAGGAGGATCAAAAAGCAACGTCGCTATGAACGCTTGGCTGCCACAAGCCAGTTCTACTTACTTGGACTACTACTACCGTTACCACTACTACTAGTGCTACAGCCGCAACAACAATATCATCAACTGCTGCTACTACAACTACTCATCCTTCCTCCCCCTCCTCCCCCTCCCTTCTCCTCCTCCCCCTCCCTATCTCTCTCATCTCCCCCTCCTCTTCCTCTTCCTCTCCCTCTGAGATGCGGGGCATGCGCAAGGCGATTGCGAAGGCGATGTGCCGTCCGAGCTATGGATGTTGAAGTTCCTCGGAAGAGGTGGTGGCCAAACCTTCTTGGGCGGGATATCTGGGTGAGGGAATATCGGATCCCGCATGCCAGAAAAATCCCCCATGATGGGGTGTGTTATCCAGATGGATGCATGTGTCATGTGGAAGCATGGCGCATGAGGGTAAAATGATTGTTGTTGTTGTTGTTGTTGTTGTTGTTGTTGTTGTTGTTGTTGTTGTTGTTGTTGTTGTTGTTTGTTGTTGTTGTTGTGTTGTCGTCGTCCCACCCGCAACCCGCCCCGCGACCCACCCGCGACCCACCCCGCGACCCACCCGCGACCCACCCGCGACCCACCCGCGACCCACCCGCGACCACCCGCGACCCACCCCGCGACCCACCCGCGACCCACCCGCGACCCACCCGCGACCCACCCCGCGACCCCCCCGCGACCCACCCCGCGACCCACCCCGCGACCCAACCCGCGACCCACCCCGCGACCCCCCCGCGGCCCACCCCGCGACCCACCCGCGACCCCCCGCGACCCACCCGCGACCCACCCGCGACCCACCCGCGACCTACCCCGCGACCCACCCGCGACCCACCCGCGACCCAAACCACGTCAAGGTACAAACCACCATTTTCGCGGCGTTTTTTTTGCATTCTTCCAGGTGGAGAGCCCGCGGCCCACCCCGTGACCAACTCGCGACCAACCCGCGACCCAAACCACGTTCAGGGTACAAACCATATTTTTCGGCGCCTGCGGCGGGCATCTTTTGCATTCGTTTCAGGTGGAGAGCCCGCGGCCCACCCGCGACCACGTTCAGGGTACAAACCACATTTTTCGGCGCCTGCGGCAGGCATCTTTTGCATTCGTTCCCGGTGGAGAGCCCGCGGCCCACCCGCGACCCAAACCACGTTCAGTGTACAAACCATTTTTTTTGGCGCCCGCGGCGGGCTGCTTTTGCATTCCCTCCAGGCGGAGGTGGAGAGCCCGCGACCCACCCGCGACTAAAC